AGTTCGGGTCTCTGCTTTGTGTGACTCGGGGCCAAAAGGGAGGGTTCGGGCTCCTCGTAGGGAGTTCGAGCTCTAAGTAGGGAGTTCGGGCCCCTTGTGGGGAGTTTGGGCTCTAAGTAGGGAGTTCGGGTCCCTGGTAGGGAGTTCGGGTCCCTTGTAGGGAGTTCGGGCTCTTCTTATTGAGTTTGTCTCCTCGAGGGGAGTTCGGACTGTTGGTCTCTTCCCTTTGGTGTTTGTACCATCGGTACGCTGTTTTAAGTGCCGAGCTACTTGTTTTTTGCCACGTGGCATGATTTACGAAGTCAGGCCAAATCTTCCTTCATCCCCGACTCAGCCAACTTCGAGGAGCAGTAACAGTTTGTTCTCTCACCTTCAACCCCACAATCATCATTTGGTTCAAGAGATTACTTTAACGAAGATTGTCTGATCAATGGGTTCACAGACGAAATAAAGCAACAACAATAGTCGCTGTTATCCCGATCTGGATTGGGTGAACGAGTTGGTGATATTTGGTTTGAAGGAAAATGTAGGAAAAGGAAAGGACAGGTAGAAAAAGGTAAGAAACCTTTATAAACCTATTAGTTATCCCGTCTTTCCCTTCTTTTTCTTACCTTTTCCTTCAAACCAAACATAACCTGTACAAAAGGTGTAAACATATACAACATATGTATGCCATTGATGATCAACTGATCATTGTTTCTGTATCAATTTTCTTTTGGGGTCAATATGTATCAAGCTCTCGAACTTAACATCTTCGAGTGTCTCTGTTTGTAATTTTGTTCGTTTGCTTCTCTGGCTTCCGAATGGACGGGCGCCGCTATGGTGTGCTCCCTCGCCCGTGTGTGGGCTAGGGTTAGGTGGAGGAGAAAGAACAGATGGTAGGATTAGGAAGGGTGAATTAAGGGATTTTGATCATGTTTTTTTTTTGTCTTTTTATGTATAGTTTAACCGGATACTTCAGGTAACGGCAAAAGGCCCGTTAACATTAACGTCGTCTCTCATTGTGGGTTCACGCTCACGCATTCCGTGAGAGTTCGGCTTCAGTCCAGACATCCTCAGTCAGGGCATTTGGTGGATGCACCGTGTAAACGGTTGAAGCATACGAAGATGCTTCACGCCATTAGCGTTAATTAATCAAATCGTCCTATTCTCCTCTCCTCTCACTTGAGTGTCGCAGACGAAACACTCATTCTCTTCTCCCCCTCTCTCTCTCCCCATTCACCCGGCAGCGACTTAACAATCATTACCGCCGGCGATAAATAATCATTACCGGCGGCGGTGAATAAGCAGTTTCCTCAATCATCGGTTGTGGGACATCCATTTCGATGTAAATGCTACTCCCACAACAGTAGGGCTGGTTGGTCTCCATTAGAAGTCCACATACAAATCCATCACTGGCGGTTAGGCTAGGATCGAAAACCGAGAAGGAATTCCGTTAATTACAGCTGAACCAGGTCACAAGATGAGACCCATCTGACTTCAAACCACATAAAACGGGACCATTCTCACCATATGACACAGCGATTGAGGACATGGAGCCCGGACCAAACACCTGCAACCATGAATCTACAATGGCCATCAACAACACTATAGCTTGGAGAAGAAAACCTGCTTTCCGGGTGTCCATCTTCAAAACCCATATGAGAAACCTGTCATCAAACTCCAGGAATTTTTCGCCAATAAATCCAACCAATTATTTAAACAAAACCTGAAAGCTGCAACAATTATCTGAAACTCCGACCAACATTGCAACCCAAATAAGAATCTACCACTTCTGTCCTGACTTTTGAAACTCCTCTTCTTGTTCTCTGTTTTCTGATGTTGAAAGAAAAACTACTAAAGACAAAGACAAGGAAATTCTATGTTTGAACAGCAGTGAAGGACTAGAATTTAAACCACCTGAGTGCTGCATAGATAAATCATAAGATCCAAATGCCAAATACTCCGTCCAAAAGAAGCTTCTGTGATATCAAACTCCTTCAGATGCTCTTCTTCTGCAAGACCCATACAAAAAAAAAAAAAAAAAAGAAAATCCCTTCTTGCTTCTGGGTAACAACTCTAAACAGGACTTCAAAAATGAGTTCCAGTTTCTTTTTTTTTCTTAATCTCTCTCTATTCTCTTACTAAAGTCGTAAAATTGGTAGAGAGAGAAGAGATATTGCAGAAATAAGTGAAAACTAAAAAGTGGATGGGTGAAGATGGGTTATAGAAACGAGTTCGGCTTCAGTCCAGGCACCCTCAGTCGGATGATGGTAGCCATCCACCCGGCGGCGACTTAACAACTATTACCGCCGGTGATGATTGTTTGTCACCGGCAGTAATTAAGTCGCCACCGAGTGGAGGGAAGAGAGAAAGGGAGAAGAGAATGCATGTCTCGTTTGCGACACTCGAGTGAGAGGAGAGGAGAATAGAACAATTTAGTTAACTAACGGCGTGAAGTATATTCGCATGCTTCAACCGTTTACACGATTTGGAATACCTCCAAATGCGCGAACGGTGTCCTGACTGAGGGTGCCTGGACTGAAGTCGAATTCGCCCCGTGAATCCACGTATCCACAGAAGCGGACTGTTTTTACTGTTTTCTATTTTGACACGTGTTCCCCTTATGGCGAGACAGACTCGAGAGCCAAGAGGGGTCGAGACGAGAAGGGATGAGACACTGATAAATATTTTTTCTTTTTTGGGCTTCAGAGACACTGATAACTTGCAGCCCGCAACGGTGCCCTAACATTTGAGAAAAACAGGTAGTCAATTCCCCGCTACTTTGGAGTCCGGAGGGAAGCCAGGAGTATTTTTGGACATGGCGGTTGTTGTTTCACAGGGGCCAGTCTCGGCCTCGTCGCTGCTCTGCAACTGCCATCGAATACTCAACGTCATTTCCTTACCAACATATTCGCTTCAAAATCCTTGTTTGTTTGATTCCACCAAACCTCAGGCATTAGCCACTCGAAAACAGAGGACAAGCTGTTTATCTTCTCGCAGAACTCTATATCATCTTCAAGCGGTGATTTCCCTATTCCACGGAACTCTTCAGATTTTTCAGTTATGTATTTATACATCGAAAGAGATGCTATAATCTCATTTCAAATTTTCCCCCTCTTTGGTTTTCCTATCACCCATCTGTAGAGTCCTCAACGAGGTCGATTGCTCACTGTTTCCAATGGATTAGGGGAAGATTCAGATGAGAAGATAGTAGAAGGTAAAGCCAACCCACTCACCCGTACACTTTCCTTTATATTCCTTATCATCTCATCTCTTCCTTCTCTCAGACGATGATGTGAAGGATTTAGGGGTTAAAGCTGCATTGGTCATGCTGAAGTTCTACAAGAGTAAGTTGTTGAAACTTCTATTTGGAAATTATATTATGAAGGCTGAGTTTGGAAAGAGTACAAATACAAATATGTATAGTGCAAATACGTACAAAATACAAGGTTTTGCACTCTACATATTTGTGTTTGTACTCCTTCCAAACTGAGCCGAATGAAAAAAGAGAGAAAGAAATGTTTCCCATTTCTATCTATTCGAAAAGTTCTATTTTATTCTTAGGCATTTCTTGTAATAGCATTCCCGGTTCTCCATATGATCCTATCCTTATATTCCTAGTAAATTTTACTAACAGTGAAAATATAGTGGGTCTGAAACCCAAACTTGGTTTTCAAGCAGGGGAGATCTCGCCACTATTACCCAATAGTTGTCGATACGTGCCCACTTGCAGTGAGTACTCCATGGAAGCATACAAGAGATATGGAGTTATAAAGGGAACAATCTTGACAGCTTGGCGTCTCTGTCGTTGCAACCCCCTTGGTAATCTCTCCTTCCTTATTGTTCAGCACTAGAGTATTTAGACTTGGAGGTGGTTTCATAAAATTTACCATTTTTTGTTTCTAATCTTGCCTTTATTTATGCATTTGGCCTGACCTGATTCAAATTATGGCAATACTCTGATTCTGCTTTCTGTTCATTGCTAGTAATTTTTTAGCAGCTATTAAAAAGAACTATGTATTGATTATCAGGTGGGTCAGGATTTGATCCTCCACGATGGTTTGATGAGAGAAACTCGACAGAAGGGTGAGACTTCACCAATGTCATAACTGCCAAGATTTGTAGGTAGACTCTACTGTCTTTCTAATTGTATATTGAGAGTTTTGGACAATCCTACATATATTTTTTGTATATTAATACTTGTTATTGCTGTTTTTAAGTTATACAATTTGCTGATGGTGATCAATGAATGTTTCTTATACGAATGCTTTATGTAGTTGCTTGTCTGATTTTACTTTTCCTCCATCTTGATCACCCCTCCCAAAGAAAGGAATATTTTGTTCCATTGCTTTGCCAAACAGGTGTTCCAGGATTTTCATCTATTCATGGGAGAAACACCTATGGTAAAGTGCATACAAAACCAACTTCAGTAACCTGACAATGAAACATTGAAACTTATTTTTCCCTTATCAGAGTAAAAAAGGCAAAGCACTTACAGTTCAGAACTTGTCTCAACTGTGATGGATGTGATATCCTCATGACTCACTTTGAGAGTCAAGCATTCTTAGCTTAGGCTTTCTGACCTTCCATTATGAATGGTTACGTTGAGAGTGATGGGAACCATTCTTGGTGAAAAATAGCTTTTCATTCCACTAGAGGCATCCATATTGTTCTCTTCAAGAATATAGATGGCACAGATTGACCGCATATTCTGACTTGGTATGTGGGTAAGACTTTGTTGGCCACTACCATATTAATGTATAATCAATTTAAGTTGTCATATCAATTCACCAAAATTTTGTTACATTCCCTTCTGCCCGATCAAGTTATTTTTAAAAAACTTTTTATTCTCCTTTTTCATTTTCCTAACCTTTATTTTGCAGGGTGAAGATGATCAGTTAATTAGGGGTCATTGCTTGGTGTAATGGTAAAATCTTGGGCTGACAGGCGTGAGAATGTGAGTTAAAGCCTGAGAACAGTAACTTTGTTCAAAAAAAGGTCAAAGGTTAGGACTGTATCCGGTTTATCCCTTCCAGTACTCCAGATAGCTTGACCAACAATTCGGTGATGACCTTTTCTTAAGATTATCTGTTAATGCAGAAAAGGAGATGCTATGAACTATCATTGATTGATAGTTTTGAGATTCTTTCACATCATTATTGTACCAATATGTTTGTCCAATTCGAGCCATGTGGAGCTCTGCAAACAGTTGGCATTTCACCCCTTTTTGCATAGATAATTCCATACATCCTTTATACCCTTCAGATTTAAATGCCTTCTCCAAATTTATGATTGAAGACAAGCCTTTCAGCTTAGCTGATATGTGATCAATTACTAGAGTATAAAGATGTGGGGTATTTAAGCCTCAGTTCATGCCCCTTTCCCTCATTTCTGTCAAAGACTGAGTTTGCTAGGTTGCATCTATAAGAGCACTTGTGATAAGTTTTTCCCCCCCTTTTTCCTTCTATTTCAGTGATGCAAAAGGATTTCATAATTAACATTTGGGTTGCACAGGAGCAATGTTAATGCCGTGGTCTGTGGAGGTATGGTACCCCTAAATAAAAAATGGACAAAGGCTACAATCAGTACAATACCCTAATTGTGGTGATGCATAGGCTCTAAATCTGTTTAACCTTTCCAGTTCTGTGAGAAGCATCATATCACTTGTGCAACCATAATGCTTGTATTGCTCTTGCAACAACAAAATATGGAAGTGCATATAACACCATTGTTATATGACAATGGTTGCTGTTATTGCAACAACACATGATCAATCAAGGCCATTGTTGAAGGAATTTAACGAGGCAGGTCTTTTATATGGAAGTATCATATACCACCATTCTTATATGACAATGGTTGCTGCCATCTCCATGGTTCAGCATCTTGACTCGTTGCTGCACATTTTCTGCTTGCTGCTGAGAAAAGCACCATGATCAATGGACTTGATTGTTAAAGGGATTTGATGAGACAGGTCTTTTATCTATCAACCTCCATGGTCTTTTATGGGCAATTGCATTGTAAACAAGAGGTTTTAAAGTAAGTGAGATTAAAGCGGAATATATGCAATGCAAATTTAATATAATAGAAGAGCAAACCAAAGTACATTTAGGATTCGAGACCAATGTGATCTCTCCCATTACTGGTTTAATAATTCATAACAAAGGAGAGGATGAGGAGGATGTCACTCATAAAATTAGAGCAAGGTGGACAAAATGGATGCATCCTGAGTTTTATGTGATAGCTCTAATAGATGATATTCAAAAAAAAAATATAGATGATAAAATGAAAGAAAATAGATTGAGATGATTTCATCATGTGCATAGAAGACTAATAACAGGTTTAAAATGATTTAAAATGAGGGGGCTAGAAGAGAGAGGGACAGATTTAAAATGATTTAGGACTGATCCCATATAATTGAAATAACCAGACAAGGATTTGATGATGATAATAAGATTTTCCAATGGTTGTCTCAAATGCCTGCTTTGACAATGTGGACTGGTGGACTGGGTAATTACCTAAATTTTGGCATTTTCTTAACAAAAGGAAAAAAAAGAAAGCCATAAACCATAATACTTGTGTCAAATTGTAAGTTTTGTTGTATTCCACTTGTTCCGTTGTTTCCCTTCATTATTTAATATGAAAGATCTCAATGAAATGATTTTGGCGGAGGATTTATAGTCGGTTATATATAGAATTTGGTATTTTATGGAAAAAACGTAGCATTAGATACATTTCATTAAGTTTTAAATATATGCCAAAGCTGTCACCAGCTATGTCGACCACATCTCTTTTTGGTTGTTTATAGCCATTTTGTTGATATCCATCACCCTTTTTTTTTGTGCCTCTACTGAAACGAAATCAACATTAATTGAGTCCTGCGTTATCACAGGAGACAAGGATTTTTATGAGTTTCTCCTCGACTTGAAACTTGAATTAAGATGCATGAACTTCACCGCAATATCAATGCTCCCAAATTAAATGGGTGTTTGGTATTGATGCGTTTAAATAATTTTTCAGAGTAGTGATTTCGTAACAACCATCCTTATTGCTTTCGTCTTCAATGGCAGGGCTGCTCACAGTTCGGTGTGAGGCTTTTTTTGGAACTAAGTACTACCAGTTTTTAGAAAACTGGTAACTGAAACTGAACCAAAGTCAGTCAATTAATCAGTTGACTGGTTCAGTTTTTCGGTTTTTTCGGTTTTTAATTTTTATAATATAAATTATAAAAATATATATATACTGATCGATTTGATTAACTGCCAATTTTCTATATTAATTAATTAAAGTTAAACCGATCAATTTGATTAACTAATTTTTCGATTTGATTTTTCTCACCCCTATTATTAAATGGTGCATGTCACCTCCACATTTACTCGAGGTCCAGGAATAAGTTGGCGTTTGGATTCCATCTGACAAACCTAAGTTAATTATGTATGGTCCATGCTGTAAATATATAAATTGGCGCCTTTCGCTCATTTTTAGAAGTGACTGACCGACTGACTGTTTCTGCTTGTTTGTGTTCAATTCTTTCAGGTTTGAATTCCCATCCCTCTATGTCTCAGCCTCTCGTGTAGGGTTTGTACTTTGTAACCGTCTCCTTATATTATTTTTTATTTTTCATATATACATATGTACACCCGCTTATGCTCACAATTCATTATAATGTTTGTTACTAGCGAGGGGCGTCCGTGCTAAGCACGGGCGAGAAATACAGAATAATTGGGAGAGTAAAAAATGAAAAAAAATAATATATGTGATTATAAAATTAACTAATTTCTTCTATTACAAAAATAATGTTCATGCACAATTCTTCTAATTAGCATGGTCCTCTAGGAACTGCAATCATTATTCATAATGCAAGTAGCTTCCCTTCACCATCAGACATCAACATATCTGACTTGCATAGGACCCAATCCCTTGAAATGTAAAACATAAATAATTCAAACAATAGAATTCTAGTTTGGAAATTGCTAAGGCACATCATAGCAATACAACTCACTCACCCCACGCAAAGTATACTGATTATGCAAGGTTCTAATAGCCCTATTAGTTAGGGTGAGCAAGAAAAATTGAAAAATTGACGAAATCGAAATTTTGATCAACCAAACCAGTTGGTTCGATTTTGGTTCAATATTTTAAAAAAACCAAAAGTATCAGCTCAATTTTGGTTAACCAATATAGAAAACCGATGGTTAACAAAATCGATCGACATACATATATTTATATATATATTTTATATATTATAAATTAATAAATATACATTATATAAATATATATTTATAATATATAATATATTATTTATTATTTAAAATATAGTATTATATATATTTCTAGTTTTTTATAATATATTTATATATTATTTTATAGTATATATTGTAAATCTTAAAAAACCAAAAAACCGACGAACCGAACCGATCATCTGGTTAATCGATCAATTTCAATTACCGGTTTTCCAAAAACCGGTTATACCGGTTTAGTTTCAAAATCAGGTACACCGAACTGTGAGCACCCCTGCTGTTAGCTTCTTCAAAGGTTGCATATTTTATAAAACAACATCTTGTAAAAATAAATATTCATGACTTGATTTCATTAGGATATTCCATGTGCCAAAAGTTAGGTTTGTATCAGGCTGTGTGTGTGTATAATTCGGATAAGGCTTAGATGGTGATGATATAAAATATAATTGTCTGTTAATTATAAATTAATCTACAAATTAAAATCAGTAAATGATTTAATAACCACTTATAATTTGGCATTTTCCTGCAATTTTTTTTTGTATTTTGTTTAATTTTTTATGTTTTTAACAATTTTTATTTGATGTTATTTAATTTTTTTATTTTTCTTTATTTTCTATTTGTTCTACAATTTTTGATTTTTTACAAGGAATATATTTTTTGCCTTTTAATGTGTTTTTATGCATTTTTATCTTTATTTTGAAAAAAATGTTTTTTATCTTTTTATAATTGAAAAATATAATTGTATGTTTTTATGTAATTAGAGTATAAAAAATGTAAAAAAAAAGTCATAATTGAATTAAAGGGTCAAATGAGGCATGGGTTGGGGTGGGTCAGGGTCAAAGTGGGTTGTGACTTGTGACCCTAACGTGGCAAATGGGGGACAAAAACCACCCATTTGCCACCCCTACTCTTAGGGCAGTTAACACATCCAGCAAAACAAACATTCTAATTTTGTATTCGAGTATCAAATGTTCAAAGAAAATGGTACAAACTTTCTCTTTGTAAATTGTTTTTTCTTCGGAGTAGAACCTACATCAGCGAAAGAAATAAAAAAAAACAGACTCCAGCAGTAGGCACAGCTTTGTGAGCACAATCATCAATAAGCACCCGATAAATATTCTAACAATTGTCTTAAAAATTTGTTTTGAATATTTTCATAGGACAACTGTCCTAAAATTTTGCTTTTTAAAGAGGTTTTCTGCAACACGAATGCTTTTATTTCCACTTGTTTTTGAAATTGCCACATCAGCAAAAAAAGGCACATTCTTGAACCAACTGTGTTGGTTTTGTTTAACAAAAACAAATTTTGAATGCAGATTGTACTAAACCAGAAATTCAACAACACGTTTTTGTCTTCAATTTTAAAAACAAAAACACATGTAACCAGTAACTTGTTTTCTGTAATTTTGTTTTAAAAATCAATTTGTTTTCAAACCAGGTTTTGATATTTGTTTTTGGAACTTACAATTCACATGGGAGAATACCCCCTACAACTTATTTATAGATTTTAGAAGTCTCATTTCTTTTTTCAACTTCCCAAGTTAATCTCTCCAACAAGTGGATCACAATGATACAGGTTTCTGCATCGTTACCAGTTTAGCAGAGCAATGACCACCCTACAGAAAACAGGAAACTGCTATACTGGAGAGAGGAGGACAAGGCCCTAGTTATTGTCTTATTTATCAACCAAACAGGTGGTGCAAAAACTTAATTTCAATACCAAAACCAATAATTTATTGTTCTAAACTCAAAAATAAATTACATGCATCCATCTGCAAAAAAAATATATATGCTCCAAGCTCTCATCTAAAACAGCTTAGAGTAATATAGGAAAATACAACAGTGAGGCAACTACCAAGTCCAAACTATCAAGATAAAGAGTAGTAACCGTTAACCAAGATTCTCTATGCAGTGCCATTAGGTAGCTGAGCAGCTTTTGCAGGTGGATTGAGATCATCCCAAGCTTCAATCCATGTGACCATGGCATCTGCTAGCTTGGCAAAGTAGGGATCTACTTCCCCAAGCTTAGCCTTGACCTGCTTGGAGAGTTCAACGTAACACATCTGAACAGTGGTGCATTCCTTTGGAAGGGTTACTGACTGGAAGAAAGGGATCAGCTCTTCTTGCCAAT